TCGTTCAAGATATTCGTCAATTGTCATTGTGGGAAGTCGCCAACTTGGACGAAACACTTGTTCTTTTATTGCTTCACGTTGGTTTGTAATAACGAATGGACGAAGTGGCTAAAATTTCAAATTATATAAAACCTTAAAATTTCAATGAAATGGGTTTTTGCCTTGAAACAATCTCACGTGATACATAAATCCTATGATCAAAAGCTTGATTTTCAAGGCAAAAGCCTAAAGATGAAAGTGCTATATATGTATACATACACGTCCATCCCGCGATAACAACGGCCCATTGTGATTTCTTTGGACAGTTTCTATCCTAGTATCATCTTTCATCTCTACGGAAGAACCTTGTCCTGACTCCATCATGCGCATTTGATTCAACAAATCAATCTCTTGTTTAATCAACAACAATTGTTCAATTGATTTTTGAATAAAGAGATTGATAAGGGTTAAAATATATTCGCGGTTAATATCTTCCTTGTCATCATCTTTAGTCGAGATTAGTTGTTGTTGCAACATCTGTTAAAAAACACGAAGGTAAACAAAAAAATTTGTTCTTTCAAAAAAATAACTAGTAAATAATATATTACCTCTAGTTTTGCTTTGGTCTCTTTTTCTCTTTTGTAGCGCTCAATTTTTTCTTCACGCTTTTTTGCTAAATCCTTGACAATTCCATTTGAATGTTCCTCGACGAATTTCTTATCCTATTTATATGTATGAAATAACGGTTTAGTTGATTATTTTAAAACAGTATGTCATAAGGGCTGATCGGCAATAGATATAGGTAAAAAGTGCATTAACGGAATAACAATATGCTACGTCACCTCTTCACTGAGTATTTCATACAATTCAACGTTTCGCAGAAATTGATCGAAATACCACTTCATAGAAGAATATGATACCAAAGAGTTAATGCGTGCAAAAGAATTATATATAATGAATATGTACAGTCCCTATAAGCACATAATCTAAACCTCTATACAAACATAATCAATAAATCCATACAACGTAAATTAGCTATTTCTCGTTATAAGGGCAGGAAAATAGAACTCTGCCGGCCAGGTATATTTAAATTTTTAAAAAAAAATTTTATACGTGCTAAATATAAAAATTTTTATAAAAAGGTTACCCGGTGGGATAACGAGAACCAATTTTATTTGTTGCAATGGCCTAAACATCTTTTTTTGCTAAAAAAAAAAAAAAGTCTAGGATCCCTGATTGTAGAGAGGTTTGACCGTATAAAAAACGCGTTTTTTACTTAACCTTGGCATTGTTTAATATTTCTAATCTATTTACACCGATAAGTTTTGTCATCAAATCTCCAAGATATGCATAAACTAGAATGAATCTAGTAATGCGAGAAGGTTTTAGAACAAGGAAAGAATTGAACAAATGTTCATAAATCCTTACTTTAGATCTGTAGAGTTGATATCATCCACCGTTTCGTTTGAGCTGAAAAGGTCCAATTCATCAACTAATTTTGCACAAGCAGAAAAACATGCGATTGCATTGCTTACATCTTCCTAAAAAAAGTCAAGTT